AGAATTGTAAAGTTGTTACAATTATGAGATCACTATGCATCAAAGTTAAGTTCCGAAAATTGTTTCGAGTCATTGTATTGTTAAGACAGGGCATTGACAATGCTGAAAGATTAATACCTATTAAACCTTCTTACTTGGGAAGTAAGCAATCAATCTGATAAATTGAAATATATGGGATACTTGAGGATAACATGTAGGTGCTTATTAAAGAGCAAGTTCGCTGAATATGACCTACTATGAGAACTCCATTTAGTATTTTACTGAAGTGTCAGTGGAATATGTTCTTATGTGATAGTCGTGCAACTATTCTTCAGACTAGAGACACCAAGTCATCTTGCATGGGGAATAGCATACTTTGATTTTACCTTTACAGATCTGGAGACTATCAGAAGCCTAAACATGATGTTTTTGGGTATATCATGAAGCATGTGAAAGTGAATAAGCGGTCAAAAGATGATTTATCACCCCAAGTGATATGAGGGGATGTATTTCACTTGTTCTCAATTCTTGATTGACTTGTATAAAGTGTCTGCTCAAAGTATGATAAATTTAGAAAAGTTAGTTTCTTAAATTCATAAAGTTAGTCATAAATTATGAGAACTAATATGGAATGTCATAAGTAGACACTCAGCCATGCTTTATGACAATCTAGGATATTTGTTGAAAGTATCGTATTGCATTAAGAGGCTTATCATTGAAGGGCTTTGTCAAATTCTGTAATTAACTTTCTAACATTTGGGTGATTATGATGCACTGTTAGATGTCACTTATGATCTATAAATATAAATCAATTATCAAATTGAAATTTGATTAGGATTTATATTTATTGCTAACATGTTAGAAGCTAAGTGGATCACACACGTTAAGTGACATAATTGGGATTAAATAAGGATAATTAATTGAGTTGGACTTAATTGAAACAGATCAAAATAAAATGAGAAAATTAATTAAGTTCATAAAGACTTAATTGAATAAAAATACAATTGTTGTATCTAGGGTTACAACTTAGTTTAAAATGGAAAGTCTTAACATGGAAAATTTTATTTCGATGAATTTCTATTTAAGCAAAAGGAGTAAAATGTTTACTTTAAGTGTTTTGAAAATTGAAATTTCTTAAATAATAAATTGAAATAAATAATATCAAATAATTTGAGTCTAGTACTTTAAGTGAGTT